TGGACAGCTCTGCTTCCTTACTGGGGGAGATGTGCACTTCCAGTGGCAGGTGGTGGGCATTCCATGATGCACATCTCCATCCCCAGCTCTGCCACAAACTACTGAACCTGCCTGAATGGATTTGTCCCAGCACTGCACCATGAAGTGAATCTCCTTCTTGCCTCCTAGCACATGGCCCGGGCAAGTCACAATAATGCCTGTGTCATTCTAAACTTTGGGCAAATCCAATCTTTTTATTTTAACCAATTGAATGAACAGCTTTCGTTTCATCTTAGGTTAAGTAATTTCAAATGGTTTGTTCATTTCTCAGTTGTGTTGTCTCTATAGAGTTGTGAGATAATTTTAGTGTTGTAGATTCAAATTCTTTGTCAGATACATGTTTTGCAAATATTCTTTCCAAGCCTGTTATACTCCCCCCGATACCCAGTGCTTGGGATTGAACCCTGGACCTCAGGAGTATTGGGTAACTGTTCTACTACTGACTTATATCCAAAGTCCCTGTGTTATACTTTGTTTTTAGACAGGGTCTTCCTATGCAGCCCTGGTTGGCCTGGAACCACTATGTAGAGCAAGCTGGCCTCAAATTCACAGAGATCCACCTGCCTCTGTCTCTTGGGGTTAAAGGCATGTACCACCACACCCAGGCCTGTGTTGTACCTTTTAATTTTGCCATTAACAGTTAAGCAAAATATTTTAATTTGTTAAAATTTAAAAAAAGTTTTTGAGATAATGTGTCATGTAGTCCAGGCTGGCCTAAAACTTGCTATGCAGTCAAGGATGACTTTCAGCTGGGTGTGGTGGCACATGCCTTTAATCTCAGCACTGGCGAGGCAGAGGCAAATGGATCTTTGTGAATTCAAGCCCAGCCTGGTCTACATAGTGAATTCCAGGCCAGCTGGTTCTACAGGAAACCCTGCCTCAAAAAGACAAACAAGCAAACCATAACTTTCAACTCCTGATCCTCCTGCCTCCATCTCTTGAATGCTGTGTTACAGGTATGGGTACTATGCCTGTCTGTTTCTATTTTGATTTTGAGCTCATTAAAAAAATTTAAATATTTATTTCTCTTTGTGTGTGTGTATGTGTGTATATGCTGTGTGTGTGTATGTGTGTGCCCCCAGAACAGACAAGGACATCACATACCCTGGGGCTGGAATTACATTCTGCTGTGAGCCACCAACATGGGTTCTGGGATCTGAACTTGGGTTCTCTAGAAAAGCAGAAAGTGTTCTTAATGATCGAGCCATCTCTTTGGCCCCTCATTTTTTCTCTTTTTCTTCTTTTTTTGATCTTTTTAAAAATTATTATTTTTATTTTATGTGTATGCATGTATTGCCTGGATGTAGGTAAGTGCTCCCGTTTCATGCAATGCCCATGGGGGACAGAAGAGGTTGTTGGATCCCCTGGAACTGGAGTTACAGATAGTTGTTAGCTGCCATGTGGGTGCTGGGCTTCAAAGCTGGGTCTTCTGCAAGAACAGTCAATGTTCTTAACTGCTGAGCGAATTCTCCAGCCCCTTTTTGGTCTTTCTGAAACAGGGTCTCCCTGTAGCCCCAGTTGATCTGGAACTTTCTATGTAGACTAGGCTTGCTGGCCTTGAACTCACAGAGATCTGCCTACCTCTGCCTCCTGAGTGCTGGCATTAAAATCATGCACCATCATGCCCAGCTCCTCATCAATTTTTTTTCATGCTTTTTATGTCCTAGTTAGATTTTCTAGTTAGATTCTGTATCTAGTGTGAAGTTAGGGTTAAGATTTTTGTTTGTCCTTGGAATATCCAATTATTCCAGCATCGTGTATGGAGAAAATTATCCTTTCTATGTTGAAATTCCTTGGCAACTTCATTGAACACATGAATTGTTCAAGTGTGTGGATCTATTTAGGCACACTATTCTCATTAATCTAACTTATGCTAATAACATTACTACAGTTTTGAAATAAGTTGATCTGGGTATGGTCAGCTGCTAGTCCCAGCTACTCAAGAGGCTGAAACTGGAGGATTGCTTGAGCCTCAAAAAGTTTGGGTTTCTTTTAAGATTCATTTTAAAAAATACTTTATTTATTTATTTTTGTTTATGAGTGTATTGCCTGCATGTATGTAAGTGCACCTGTGTAGTGCAATACCCATGGGTTGGAGCATTGGATTCCCCTGGAATTGGAACTTCGGATGGTTGTTACACTATGTGGGTGCTGGAAATTGAACCTGGGTCTTCTGCAAGAGCAGCTGGTGCTCTTAACCACTGAACCATCATCTCTCCAGCCCCTTAAGATTTATTTTTACTATTTAAAATTATGTGTATGTGTCTGCATGTGGCTATGTGCACATGAATTGCAGGTGCCTGTGGATGGCAGAGCTTTGGATCTTCCTGGAGCTCAAGTTACAGGCTGTTGTGAATCATCCAAAGTTGGTGCTGGGAACTGAATTCATGTCCTCTGGAAAAGTAATATGTGCTCTTAATCACTGAGCCTTCTCTCCAGTCTGAGCCCAGGAGTTTGGGGCTAGCCAAAACAAATAGTGAGATGCTATCACAATAAATTATTAACAGATAGATAGATGATAGGTAATAGATGAAAAAAGAAACAAGTCTTGTGCTGGATGTGGTTGTGTACACCTATAATCCAAGAACTCAGGAGGCTGAGGCACAGGGTTGTGAGTTCCAGGACAGGCAGCTTGGGCTGCATGGTAAAATCCTGTCTCAACAAAATAAAACATAAAACAAAAAAAGTCTTGGAATCACTTTTGTTCTTTTTCAAAATTGTCTTCTCTATTCCAGATCCTTTGCCTTTCCACATGAACTTTAGAATCAGCTATTAATTACTAAAAAATCATGCAGGGATTTTGATTGTGTTTGCATTGACTCTATAGAACACTTTGTTGGAGATATTTTTTCTTTCTTTTCTCTCTCTCTCTCTCTCTCTCTCTCTCTCTCTCTCTCTTTTGTTATCTATCTTTTTCTCTTTTTCTCTCTCTCTCTCTCTCTCTCTCTCTCTCTCTCTCTCTCTTCTTTTGTCTTTTAAAGACAGTCTCCCTGTGGCCCCAGCTGGACTGGAACTCGCTATGTAGACCAGGCTGGCCTTGAACTCACAGAGATCTGCCTGCTTCTGCCTCCCTGGTGCCTGCCTAGGAGATATTTTTTTCCGATTGACTCCTAGGAGGTCACTTTAACAGAGGTACTTATCTCACTTATGAGCTACCTTAGCCTAGATCAGGATTGAGAACCAGGTCACTAGGCTTCTGTTTCTTCAACACCATGTACACCTCCAGGCTTTTCCCTCTCCTGTCCTACTTGGGCATCCTGGGTACCATCCTGCTTACCCTCAGCTCAGCTCAAATGTTACTTTCTGGGAAGCTGTCTCTGACCCATCTCTGCCCCTAACTGAAACATTCTCTTCTCTTGGTTTCTCAACTTCACCCTCATCTCCCTCACAGACACAAGACTGAATTAGTTAATATCACCTTGGGTGACTGTTGCATGTTTAGGTATCTTTCTCCTTGATTAGCCAGAACTGTTTTGAGGAAGGGACTTGGTTATTTTTTCTTGGCATTTCCCTTAAAAGTTATTTATTTCTATTTTATGTGTATGAGTGTTTTGTCTGCATGCTTGTAAGTGCACCATGTGCATGTAATGCCCACGAAGGCCAGAAGAGGATGTCAGATTCCCAGGAACTGGAGTTACAGAAGTTTGTTAGCCACCTTGTTGGTGCTAGGTACCAAACTCAGGTCCTCTGCAATGAATCTGATGCTCCAATGAGGCATCTCTCCAGTCACTATTTTTTAAATATGCGTGTGCGTGTGCATGTGTGTGTGTGTGTGTGTGTGTGTGTGTGTGTGTGTGTGTTTAGGCCAGAGGACACCTCAGGTGTCATTCTCAGAAACAATATCCATCTTTTTTGAGACAGAGTTTCTTGGTGGTCTGGCGTTTACCAAGCTGGCCAGGGAGCCCCAGGGATCTGCCTGTCTTCACCTCTCCAGTGCTGGGCATAACAAGAACATGCTACAACATGCTGTTTTCATATGGGTTGGGGGGGATCAACCTCACTTTGATGACTAAGCTATCTCCCCAGCCATTAGCTCACTTTATTTTTTGGAGGTATTGAATCAATGGGGAAGGATGTCAAGATGAATCTTGGGCTGGGCTTGGTGGCACATGCCTTTAATCCCAGTACTTGGGAGGCAGAGGCAGGTGGATCTCTGTGAGTTTGAGATCAGCCTGGTCTACATAGTGAGTTCCAGGCCAGCTAGGACTACAGAGAGACCCTGTCTCAAACAGACCAAAATAAATAAATAAAGACATCGATTTGTAATTGCAGTAGCCAAGGCTCAGTGTTCTGTGGATTGGCTATGTACTTATGTGAAGACTTTGTCGGTCCAGGCTTGCTATTAGCAGGTGTTCAATAAGGGAATAAGGGTGTGAAACTGAAAGCCAAATCCATCCTTACTGTAGTCTCGGGCAAATCTTCGCATCCCTGAGAGCTCTATTTTCATGTTCATGTGGCAAGTGCAACATGTATACTTCAGAGCCCTTATGAAGTTGGCTCGGGATCACGCGGTTAGGAAGTGACAGGAGAGAAGACGGCCCAAGCATTCTGACTCCATGTCCAAAAGTCTCTCTCCCTACTGGTGGAACCTGGAGCATAGATGCCTTATCCCTATTTGGAATTGTGCCTTTCACTATTCTCCTGTTTTCTTGGCTGCCTTTCCCCCGGAGGCTTTCCACGTGGCAACAGGGTAGAGAAGCAAGCAGCAACAGCTGTCACTCAGGAGTGCCACCACTTTGCAGCCGCTGGCCACGCGCTCAGCACCTGTAGGACCAGTGCGCAGCACAGCGACACAAGAGCATGCGCGTGCGCGCCCAAGGCAAGCCGACCTGGGAACCCAACACCTCCCTAGCGG